CTAAAATTAAAAACAAAAAAAGTCTACACAAAACTTGTATGTGAATGTTTATAGAAGGCTTATTCATAATCACCAAAAACTAAAAATAATCAAACAACTATTGATTGATAAATGAAAAAATAAGTTGTGGAACACCCGCACAAAGAAACACTCTTCAGCAGTAAAAAAAAAAAAGAAAAAAAAAGAACAAATTACTGACATATGCAAAACTATGGGTGGGACACCTGGGTGGCTCAGTAGGTGAGGTATCTGCCTTCAGCTCAGGTCATGATTCTGGGGTCCAGGGATCGAGTCCCATGTGGGGCTCCCTGCTCAGGGGATGTCTGTTTGTCCCTCTCCCTCTGCCTCTCCATCCCTCATGCTTGCTCTCTAATAAATAAAATCTTGAAAAAAAAAATCTATGGGTGAGCCTCAGAAGTATTACACAAGGTTTGTAAGAAGCCAGACTGAAAAGACTACCTCCTGGGTATGACTCCATTTATATGACATTCTGGAAAAGGCAAAACTATGAGGAGAGAAAACAGACCAGTGGTTGCCAGGGGCTGTGGGGAGGAGAAGGGGATTGATGACAAAGGGGCACAGGGGCACTTTTCAGAGTGACGAACCGTTCTATATCTTGGTGGCTGTGGGGTGGTTACATGACTATGTGTTTGTCAAAGCTCGGAGTGAGTTTTACTAACTGTAGATGACAGGTCAATAAACCTAACTTAAAAAAAAAAGTCAAGCCATGTATTATGAAACACAAATATAAATAAATCTTCAAAACTAAGTGTCAGCCTGGGTTCCTTAGAAAATAGAGCCTGGTCAAAACGTATGCCATAGGGGCACTTGTGTGGCTCAGTAGGTTAAGCATCTGACTCTTGATTTCAGCTCAAGTCATGATCTGAGTTATGGAATCGAGCCCCGGGTCAGGCTCCGCACTCAGCAGGGAGTCTCCTTGGGATTCTCTCTCTCCCTCTCTCTCTCTTTCTTTCTCAAATAAATAAATCTTTAGAAAAAAATCTATGCCCTAACACTTCACTGTAATCCCAGGGAGGCAAAGGTGAGGGAAAAGGTGAAGTGAATCAAGGAAGGAGGTGTGTGTTACTGATCCTGAACCAGTCATAGCTCCAGGGGGACCTCTCCAGAGAGGCCATATAGAGCCCACTGCTTGTTGACATACTCCATCAGGAGGAACAAAGGCAGCAATCTGTCTCATCTTTCATTTGTCAAATCTTGCCCCATGCAGTAAACTCCTCCCCAACTTCCCGGTTGCATTACCCAGACCCCCGCATCCAATTTCTGGGGAAGTCGGCGCTTCAACAGGTCCTTCAGATCAGCACCGTGCACCAGGGCTGCAGCAGCTCCCACCCTAAAGAGCATGGTGGAGGCCCTGCCTAGGATCGGCTCTCCTGCCAGGGAAAGCATGTGACCGCAAGTGTTAGGAGATGGGCTGTAGGGACAGGGTCTGGCTGTATGAAAGCAGGGATCAGTGGTGTGAGCCATCACTAGAGAAGGGTGACAAGGGGCCAGGGCCTGAACTGGGTCTGGAATAGTAGACTCAAACTAATGTATTCTCTAAACTTAGAGAGTAACTTAATTTTTAAGAATATTCCAAAGATATACTCAGGAAACTCCAAGTAAACAATTTCCATCTATCAAATCTATTCATGTGGCGACCTCCCTGACCTTTATATGACAAACAAATTCAGATCTCTGAGGTGTAAGTCCTATGTCTGGTTGAGACGTGTGTGAGCATCTCCCTATAGAAAGCAGACTTGGCACCTCTGAATAAGGCCATCCCCCGGACAGATCACAGGGCTCGTGCATGGCCCACCTGTCAGGGCAAGGATGCTACACTTCAGAAAATAATAAATTCTAGTTAAAATTCAAAATCTAAAGACTATCTCTCTAATCCTGCCCATGAAATGTCCACGCAAATGTGTTACAGTTCATGGAACCCAAAAGAGCTCAACTCTGTATTTTATAACGGGCTGGTATTTTGCTTTACACAATACAGTGAGTGTCTATGTGCTTTTACATGTGTTATCTTATTTAATCTTCACAACGACCTTAGTGCGTAGAGTATATTACTGCCCCCGTTACAGATGAGGATACTCAAGCATATAGACGTGAGCAATTTGCCCATAGCCAGTTAAATGGTAGGGCCAGGATCTGAACTCAGGTGGTCTGACCTGATAGCCTCCTACTCTCAGTCAGTCATTCGACAGATAGATGAGTACCTGCCAGGAGCTGGAGAGAAGGAGATGCATGGCCCCCTGCCCACATGGAGTTTACGGTCTATGGGAATGACAAGCATTGAACAATTACAAATAGACAAAGAAGACGCACGGAGTGCTATGAGAGCCCATACCTCGTGCCCCATACCGGCTAGGGTACAAAGTATGTAGTCATTAATATCAACTATCACGGTAAAATCTGTAAGCCCACATATTCAGGAGAAAAGCAAACTAGGAAGCACTGGTGTCTCTGGTTATTATATGTACATACTTGTATATATTCGTACAGTGGTCATTTTCCGAGCCCAGGCAGGTTCTGATAAATAATTTTTTCTAAAACATTAACAGATTTACACGAAAAATATTACCCACATTAAGTGAAGTTAACTATATACATTCATTTAATCATCTTCATTGAAAAAAAAACAAAATATATAAATTCTGGTAGCGCCTATACAGTGACTAATGGATGAACTACAGCCCTAATACGGGGGTGTGATTTAGTGTTTTGTTCAAGATTCCTGGTTGTTTTAACGGCAAGATAGCTCTTTCATATAGATAATTCTCCAATGGATGGACAAACTTCATACTCTGAAATAAGGCTTCTAGGAAGCAACTTCCTGGCTTGCTTGAGGAGAGAGTCCAACATAGCCGTGAGGAGCCCAATTCTGGCATCGGACCAACCTGGACTGGATTCCAGGTCTGTCACTTACTACATACTACCGAGCAGTCTTGATTTCTTCATCTGTAAAATGTGATAAAAATGGTTCATAGCTCAAGGGAGCATTATGAAGACGAAATGAGAAAATGCACGTCAAAGTGCTCAGCACAGTTCTTGACCCACAGTATGCACCTAATACATGGGAGCTGCCAATTCTATTACTAGCCCTCTAAGTAGTTGACAGATGGGAAAAAAGACAGAGAGAAGAAATCATAAATGGAGGGTGTGTTAATGAGATGAAATGGTTAGGGAGAATGGCCTCATCAGAGGGCCCCGGGATAGCAGGAAGGTCAGCAGAGTGGGAAGAACCAGGTTAACCCTGCATGCAGAGCCCTCATTGGAAAGGAGCTGGGCAAATGGAAGCCAACAGGAGGTTAGTAATTAGATAGTTAATTCGTGTTTAAGAGAAGAGAACTTTAATGTGAGTGATTAAAACAATAATTCTGGGACGCCTGGGTGGCTCAGTCAGTTACGCGGCTGCCTTCAGCTCAGGTCATGATCCCAGGGTCCTGGGATCGAGCGCCGCATCGGGCTCCCTGCTCCGCAGGAAGCCTGCTTCTCCCTCTGCTTGTGCTTTCTCTCTCTCTCTGACAAATAAATAAATAAAATCTTTAAAAAAATAAATAAATAATTTAAAAAAATAAATAAAACAACAATCCCAATCTGGCTTTGTCTCCTGCCTGAGCAGCACCTGGAACATAGGTCAGTGGGGAGAAGAGGTGATTCAAACTAGCCAGCGTTTGCGGGCCCGTCCTAATTGCCCTCATCAACAGGTATACGTGAGCCTCGGGTGAAGCAAACCTCGGCTCACAAGACATATGATAAAAGCCACAAGATGGAAGGGGACTCAGAAATTCTTCAAACTGGTGGTCTTCAAGTTTTTAAGCTGCAAAACCTTTTCACAAAAGAAAAAGGTGAATGCAAAGGTAAAGATGCGCAGCTACTCAAGAGCCCTGCAGCGGAGGGGTCCCCAGAACCCAGGCTGCTCAGGTCTCCTTCCACCTGCCCACATCCTGGCTGTGGCCCCTGAAGCATCACCCCCTGTCAAGGCGTGGAGACCGCAGGTCAGAAAGGAGAGGAGACTTCCACAGGGTTGCCACCGGAGAAGGCAAAGCCAGGAGTAGAATCCGACCAGTCTTCCGACGGCCAGTCCGGTTCTCTTTTTCCCACCCAACGCGACCCTCTGGACTAACATACGAAAAGGAAGAGGAAGAAAGTAAACCACTTTCTTGGGAAAAACATCCAAATGGAAGGCTGGCGGGCGACAAAGTCTGGCACTGACAGCTGGGCCTCGCTAATCTGCATATGAACAAAATGGCGCGGCCAACGATGGCTGGCTGGAGTCACCAAAACAGTCTTTTGAACGTTAAAGCAAATTAAACCAAAAAAAAAGAAAAAAAGGACTTCACAGCGAATGTCTAACAGATTCACATTTACAATTATACTGCCTATGCATGCCCACAATTACACTCTGGAGCAAGTTTAAGCCACATTAATGGGACTGAGGGGGAATGAAAAAAGGGAATGAAGACCCAACAAAGTTCAGTACGGTGACTAATGGATGAATTACAGCCCGATGACGCAGGGAGTGATTTAGTGTTTTGTTCAGAGAACCTCAGCTTAGATCATCTGGTTGTACTTTAAAGCGGCTGTTTTCTAAAATCAAAGGTCAAGTTAAATGCTTCCTTCTCAGACCGGTATGTTATGGAGTTCAGGGTTCATATAAACACGGGTAAATGATTTTCTAAAGTACCATCACTTCCCTCTGCTTAAGAAACCAGTGACGTAGGGAGAGCCCTCGAAATCCAGCTCCTTTGTGGCCCGCACAAATTCAGCCTCCCCGGTGGCTCACTGGGCCTGGGGCGACCACCACACAAGCCTGAAGGCTCGGAGAAATCCCGTCACCCGGCAGCCTGTGAGACCCCATTATTCTGCACTGCGTTTGTACCTTTTCATTCCATAAAAGGAGGATTTATGGAACCCAGAGAGAAACCACCCAGTCGTTTGACACCGATTAGGTCCTGGCGTTCAGCCACATCACCCCCTCCAGAGCATCTCACCTCCTCCAGCTTAAAAACCGCTCCGATGTGTGGCTGGATGCGCCCTTGCTGGCAGTACTGAAGAGCCGAGGACAGGGTTCTGGAGAAGACGGGAAAGTTCTGCTCTTTGTATCGGCCCCAGTACAGCCCCACGGCAGAGACATTCTTCAAGAGCAAAAGGTTGGCCGGCACAGAAGCAATGGTTCCTCCAGCAAAACCCACCACCACGATCCTGCCCTCCCATGCCAGGCTGGGAAGAAAGGACAAGGAAAAGAATTTATTTTAAAAAGCAACATATATATATTCACACTCACTGGAATAGCTACTATAAACAACAACCACCACAACAGGAAATAACAAGTGTTAGCAAGGATATAGGGAAACCCTCATGTACTATTGGTGGGACTATAAAATGGTGCAACTGGAAAACAGTATGCAGGTTCCTCAGAAAATTAAAAATAGAACTACCGTATGATCGAGCAATGCCACTCTGGGTCTTAATCCAAAATCACTGAAAACAGGGTCTTGGAGAGATAGTTGCACTCTTGAGCCCACAGCAGCACTATCTACCACAGCCAAGAGGGAGAAGCAACCCAAATGTCCATCAGCCAATAGATGGATAAACAAAATGTGTTATATACATACAAGAGGATATTGTTCAGCCTTAAGCAGGAAGGAAATGCTGTCACATGCTATGACATGGATGAACCTTGAGGACATCAGGCTAAATGAAATAAGCAAGTCACAAAAAGACAAATACTGTATGATTTACTTATATGAGATATCTAAAGTATTCAAATTCATAGAAACAGAAAGTAAAATGGCGGTGACCAGGGGCTGGGGGGAGGGAGAAATAGGAATTATTATTTGATGGGTAAAGAATTTTAGATTTGCAAGATGAGAAAGTGATGGACATCTGTCTCACAACAATGTAAATATGCTTTACACTACAGAACTATATACTTAAAAATGGTTAATGTAAAAAAATGGTTAATATAGCAAATTTGACGTTATGTATTTTTTTAATCACAAAAAGGGTAGAATGAAAAAAGCAATCTACATGAATTTACAGAGATAAAAAAATAGAAGCTATCAGGGAGGTGGGGGAGGAGAGGAACAGTTACTATTTAACAGGTGTAGAGTCTTTGCTGGGGACAGGGACACAACATTGTGAGCATACTTAATGCCACTGAATTTTACATTAACAAATGTTTATAATGTTACGTGTATTTTACCACAACTTTAAAAAAAAAAAGCAATATGCATTAAACCCCCAGCTGGGAATTCCTCTTGACCTGACAAACTGGCAGAGGTGAACCATTCTATGGCACTTTGGATTCTTCAGTAGGAAAACATAAAAATAAGCCATAAGCAGGGCACCTGGGTGGCTCAGTTGGCTAAGCAACTGCCTTCAACTCCTGGGATCGAGTCCCTCATCAGGCTCCCCGCTCAGCAGGGAGTTTGCTTCTCCCTCTCCCTCTGCTGCTCCCCCTGATTGTGCTCTCTCCTTCTATCAAATAAATAAATAAAAATCTTCTTTAAAAATTTGTAAACATCTTTGATACACAATATGTGTATCTTTGTTTGGTTTTTGCTTTTTGCTTTTTTTTCTTTAGAGGGAAATGAGAAGTGCTTGTGCTAACACTGTTAGCCGTTACCCAGAAGGCAAGAGGGATGTGAGAACTAGCAGCTGTCTGTCCTGGCTCTCTGTGGAGTCAACACCTTCCTGTCTTTGCTTCTCTGAGCATAGCAGCACCCAGGACGGTGCACTGATGCTCAGGGGCCACAGAACCAACTGCGTCCCTTCCGTGGGTACGCTGTTCTGTCCGCTTCTGTTTCTTCAACTTTAAACTGACATAAACCACAAAACTGTGCTTGCCGGGATGACGGGAGAAATGAAACCAGTATTAACAGAACACTCCAGAGTCCCTGGTTAAAAACAGAATGAGAACTGGTGTGGATACAACAGTCCCACTAAAACTCACTGGCTGCTTCTGAAACCAGTGAGATCAAGAGTCTGTACTTTGGTGCATGGTGAGCTAGGGACCTGCCACCACCCCCGCCCCCCAGGGTCATGCTAACATCTGCATGATGATCCCAAGAATTACCCACACTACGTATATAAAGTAGTTAATGGGGCCCAGCATAGCTGAATTTAACACATGCATAATTTCTAAAGCATCCAATATTGCCAACAAGAGAGTCTGCAGTCACTTTTTGGATATTTTCCAGTTGGATATCTTGTTTTTCTATATTTAAGCATTTCCTGATTTCCCTCTGCTTCTATTCCTTTTCACCCTCCCACTCAGCTGTTCTCGTTGACACCAAAGCCTACAGGAAAAGTGAGCAGCAAAAAGGGAAGAGAAGGAAGGCCAGAAGGCAGGCAGGTCTGGAAAGGTTTCAGCAGACGCCCAGGTCCAGCCCCCTCTGGAAAGACCACCACACGCACCTGCGGAGCGCCTCCAGGAAGACATCTCCTCCCACAGTGTCAATGGCCACGTTCACCCCCCCACTGCCCACCAGCTTCCTCACTGCCTCCTTCAGGCCGCCCTGACCATAGTTCACAGTGGACTGTGCGCCCTTCTGCATCGCCAGCTTGCACTTCTCGTCACTTCCGGCTGCAGCTATCACCTGCACAGAGAACACAAAGCTTCTGATGACCCAGAATGTGTACCAAGAGGGGCTCACCCTACCCACCCAGCTTCCCACCAAAGGGTACTAACCGAGGAAACCAACGTGACCTTGCTGCCCTAGCATCAGCCTCAATCCCACACGTCAAGGCCAACACTCAGCACCATCACACTGGCCCCTCCACACCCACTGGCCATGGGATTGACATTGCCAGGAATCCTGGAACCCCAATGAGTCTAGCTAGGAGATGATTCAGGAGACACTCAGAAAGTCTTCTCCAAATATGGATGAAACCATCATTTCCTGAGCACCTACTATGAGTCAAGTAATAAAGATACCCAAGCCTAGAGTCAAGAGAGCAAGATACAGCAGTGTGAAGGTGGGGAAGAACAGAGGGCTGCAGAAGTGCAAACGAGAGGTAGTCAATCTAGACCGAGATCTCGAAAGGCTTCTCAGAGGGTAAAACATGATTCAGTAAAAAGATCTTCAAGTTGGAAAGACCTGAGTTCAAATCCTGGCTCTGCTACTAACTAGCAGTGTTACCTAAGACAAATGTAATACTTACATAATGCTCACTATGTGCCAGGTACTCTTGTAAATGCTTTACATAGATTCATAACTCACTTGGTCTTAATAACCCAATGATTCACACACTATGAGCATTCCCATATTAGAGATGAAGAAACTGAAGCAAAAGAAGTTAAGTAACTTGCTCAAGGTCACACAGCTAATGGGAGGCAGAACTGGGATCAAGCCCAGGTTGTCCATCTCCAGAGTTCATGCTTTTAACCTCTATGCTGCCCACCAGCTTCCCTAAGCTTCAGTTACCTCATCCGTAAAACAAGATTTATTTTAAAAATCAAATCGAATACTGTACATAAGACACTTGAAAAATAAAGTGCTAGATAAATGGAATTTATTGTTACACATACACAATCATGTATTCTATTTAAACCTCATAAGAACATTATGGGGGCAGTATAATTACGCCCATTCTATAGATGGTGCCACAGACATAGAGGTTAAGTAATTAACCCGGGCCCAGCACCCACCAGCCCAAGCGGTTGGGCCCCAAGGTGACATTCAGAACTTGCATTCAAACACACAAGATCATCAGTGCCCTCAGAAGATTTCAAACTCACCCAGAACTATTTGAACCAGAAAGCTACCCTAAGTACCTTCACACAACACCAGAGGGCAGACACTGGCCTAGGGTCAGGGAGTTGCAACAATCTCGATTCTCAAAAGGGTGCCAGTGAGACCTGCCACGAACCCGTCTCCCCTGGTGCCTTACTTTATCTGTGAAATAAGGATAATAAACACATTACCCATCTCCAGGGGTTTGTTAGGATCGGGGGTAAGATAATTGGTGTGGAGGCACTTTGAAAGCAATATGAAATGCTGTGAATGGAGGTTGTTCTCAAAATAACCTGTTCCAAGTAGGTGGCATGATGACATTTTTGAGTTATTTTTATTATTTTCTTGTTGTTCACTTTTGCTGAAAACCATTATGGTTACGAAAGAATATACAGCTTGGGTTAATTTTAATATCGGAGTTGAAGTGGATTTTTCTCTCTACTTAACCTACTATCACTAATCAAAACAAATGGTGCAATTTTATCATCCTAGAAATGGTAAACAGCCAGTGGTTCTAGACAAGGAGACTAATTTTGGTCTCCCCACTGAGAGGTGCTAAAAGTCCTTGCTTTGACATGAAATGTGTTAATATTCCATGGAGAGCCTCCTGGTAGCTAAGATTGCTTTCAGAACTCACATGTCCTTCCCAAAGAAAATTTAATGCGAGAAAGGAGAGACGCCACCTGAAGAAATTCCAGAGCAATCCAATTATCTCCAAACTTGGGTATCTCGGTGCCTTCTGGATATCCCAACTGCACACGCCACAAAAACCTCACACTTAATGCTTCCAAAACTGAGCTCACCATTCCCTCCTGTGTTCTCAACTGCAATAAACGGCAAATCCACAAGTTAACCTAGTTTGCTCCTTCCCACTCAATGTCTAATAATAACAGGTTCCCTTTTTAAGAGATTCTTACCAACATGCCATGCCCTCTAGCAGGCATACTGCACGTGTAATTTCAATATTCCCACAACGACTCCATATGAGGAAAGCTTTATTTTACCAATGAGGAAACTGAAGCAATTAAGCTAGAGGCAGCATTGGAATCTGAACCTAGGTCAGACTGATTTCAAAGCCCTTGTTCTTTCAACTGTATGAGGATCAAACTCTCTATTTTCTTCTACTTTAGTAACTCCCGATTCATTGCTTCCAGTGCCTTGGTTCAAGTATCATCACCACCGGCCTGGATTGCTCTCAGAGGCTCTCTACTTCCTCCAGACTACCCCTGACCTTGCCCCATCTCACATCCCCACCGCTACCAGAATGAACTTGGCAAAATGCAAATATGATCATGGCACTTCCCTATTGAAAGTCCTTAGTGGCTCCTGAGAGCTTCCAATAAGGGTTCAAATTCTTCAGCGTCTCATGATCATGTCTCTCTCTTCCTCCCTAGAGTCATCTCCCTCCATTCCCCTCCCCATCCCCCCTCCCCAGATCCTTTGCTCCACAGATGCTACTTGCTTGCAATTCCCTGAATGCATCCTGGGAGATCTCATGTCTCTGTCTTCTGACATGCCCTCCCACCACTAAAATGGCCTTCACCTCCCTTCTTCCTCTATTCAACTGCTACCAGTCCTTCAGAAGTCGCCTTAAATGCCTCCTGTCTCCAAGAAATCCTCTCCTTATCTGAACATCCACAGCCTCAAAGCAATGCCCCTGCAGAGAATTGGGTCTTTCTTTCCTTTGTTTATTCTTTCATTCAAGAAATAGTTATTGAGGAGCATCTGAGTGACTCAGTTGGTTAAGTGTCTGCCTTCGGCTCAGGTCATGGTCCCAGAGTCCTGGGATCGAGTCCTCCTGGGATCGAGTCCCGCATCGGGTTCCTCACTCGGCGGGGAGCCTGCTTCTCCCTCTGCCTCTGCCTGCCGCTCCCCCTGCTTGTGCTCTCTCTCTCTCTGTCAAATAAGTAAATAAAATCTTTAAAAAACAATAGTTACTGAGTGCCTACTATGGTCTAGGTACATGCCAACTGCTGGGATTACAGTAATGAGCCAAACAGACACTGTCCCTGCCTTCATGGGGATTCCAGTCAAGTAGGAGGGCAACAGTAATCCAGTCATGACCCAAGAAAAGGATTAACCACACACTGGGGTATGTACCATGAAAGAGAAGTATAGGATGTGAGGAGACCATCTACAAACAGCTGGGTGTGGAGGGGGCAGAGGAGAGATTAACATCTCCTGAGGGACAAAGTTTAAATTTGAAGTGCAGAGGGGCGCCTGGGTGGCTCCGTCGGTTAAGCGGTTAAACATCTGCCTTCGGCTCAGGTCATGATCCCAAGGTCCTGGGATCAAGTCCCGTATCAGGCTCCCTGCTCAGCGGGAGCCTGCTTCTCCCTCTGCCCCTCCCCCTGCTTGTGCTGTCTTTCTCTCTCTGTCAAATGAATAAATTAAAAATATATATATATTTTAAAATAAATAAATAAATAATAAATTTTAAGTGCAGAGGGAGACAGTTCAGAAGAGCATTACAGGTCGAGGGAACAGAATCTGCGGAGGCCACGAAGCAAGTCAGCTCTCGCCAGGTTCCAGTAACTGGAAGGAGGAGTAATCTCTTCCCATGTCCCCTCACCGGTCTGCAGGCAAATAGATGGCAAGATCCTACCCTGGGTTACTTTATATCCCCAGGGCCCTGCCCACGATATTTATGAACGAGTGAATGAATATACTCTATGTTCGAAAACCAGAGGTATGATTTTTTGTAAACAGAGACTCTAACATGCAAATACCTGAGCCTGAAGAACATTCGTTGCCACATCTACCACCGCCAGGCCTGTGGCCCCAGCTGCTGCCGTCACTAAAACAGTTTCTCTGCCAGAGAAAGATGAACGTTACCTCAGAAACCCTCAAAAATCAACCAATCATATGATTTCATGAACATTTTAAAGCAAGAAGAGGACTTAAAGCCCAGTTCATTCAGCCCTTCATGGACACCCATTCTCCGGGCTTTGGGGCTGGCTTATATATGTGACTGCCTGATCGGTGCAAATTTGGTCCACTTGAAGACTTCCCAGGAAAAATATCCCTTAATCTCTCTAGGGAGCCTCTTCCTCACGACAAGGGCAACTCTTCCTTTGGCCTACCACTCCAATTTCTGCTTCAGAAATTCTGTCCTAAGATCACACTCATACTAAACATTGCTGAAGTTTAGAAGGTGGGATCAAGGAATGGCCACTATTCAGTTAAAGTCACCTCTCTGGAGAAATTCTGATCTCTCTGAAAAGGGCAAGAGGCAAATATTGCAGGTAAAGTGGGAAACTTCTGCACCTTTGAATTTGAAATACCCTAGTTAGGCACACCCAACCACGCCTCACAGAAACAAATACCACAGGACTCCATTAAAACCAGACTAAAACAAGTTTACATAAACCAACTCTCTAAAATGTAAGGTTTGAGGCACCTGGGTGGCTCAGTTGGTTAAGCGTCTCCCTTTGGCTCAGGTCATGATCCTGGAGTCCCAGGATCAAGTCCCACATCAGGCTCTCTGCTCAGCGGGGAGTCTGCTTCTCCCTCTGACCCTACCCCCCCCTTGCTTTCCCTCTTTCACTCTCTCTCTCTCTCAAATGAATAGACAAAATCTTTTTTAAAAATGTAAGGTTTTCAGGGTACCTGGGTGGCTCAGTTGATTAAGCACCTGCCTTAAGGGTCCTGGGACTGAGCCCCATGTCGGGCTCCCTGCTGAGCAGGGAGCCTGCTTCTCCCTCTCCCTCTGCTTGTCTCTCCCGCTGTTTGTGTGCTCTCTCTCTCTGTGTCAAATAAATAAATAAAATCTTTTAAAAAATAATTAAAAGAAATGAAGTAGAAGAAAATGTAAGGTTTGGGGCGCCTGGGTGGCTCAGTCCTTAAGCGTCTGCCTTCGGCTCAGGTCATGGTCCCAGGGTCCTGGGATCAAGCCCCGCATCAGGCTCCCTGCTCCACGGGAAGCCTGCTTCTCCCTCTCCCACTCCCCCTGCTTGTATTCCCTCTCACTGTGTCTCTCTCTGTCAAATAAATAAATAAAATCTTTAAAAAAAAAAAAAGAAAGAAAGAAAATGTAAGGTTTTCTAGGAGGTGATCTCTAGAGTGGCCAGGTTCAAAAGAGCTATTTCCCCAAATTCATATTGGACAAGTTCACAGTCTATCATTCCATCTCAGACACCGACCCCTATCTCAGGTCACTACCTTCCTTTGGCCTTTCCTGACACCAACTGAACAAGAGCTAAAGGTTAGGGAGGGGAGGGGAAGGGGCAAGGTCTTGCTGGGCACTTCTGATCTCAGAAGGAGATATTAGCCCTGGGTTGTCTACAGAGCGTCTTACCCAGGCCGAGTGCATGCCCTATGCTCCAAGGCCAAAATAGCAGTGCCATAAGATACAGGCAGGGTAGCAGCTTCTCGGAGGGGGACCCTTTCTGGAATCTGCCACAGTGTCTGTAAAAAGAGATAACAGTAACTTAGGGATTAAGCACATGTACCTGTTCATAAAGGCTGCTCAGTAAACATTATGATCCGATTGAGTGACTGATTTGTAAAAGGAACCAAGCCTGTCAGGAACCAAAACCCACCAGAAGTCAAAACCAAGCAAGCTGTGACAGAGTTCAAAACCTGGGTATATGGGTCTTCACAAATCCCAAGGCTGGCATCTAGCTCGGGATGGAACCACGTTTCAGAGAATGGAACTGTACTGTAATAGATGAATCGGATGGTTGTTAGGTCCTTTTTACCTCAATAAAGCTGTGGGAAAAAAATGTGTACTCTTCACCACTAGGGGCCGCCATTCACATCCTATACATGCCTACCCCACCACCCTGGCTGGCGCCATTCCCAAGACTAGCTCTTTCACAAACGTGATGTGGGGGAGAAACCTATTATATCCAGCTCAATGCCCCAAACCAGTTTTTCTACCAAAACTACCTATGGTCCAATTGGACAGCCAGCCAGTTGCCCCAGGACTCGCAAAACAAAATGTCCTTCTTCATCTCACCACTCCACACAAACAAAGCTCTGTGCAGGGTTGTCACTCCAACATAGAAAAGGCTTTAGCATTTGAAAGAAAGAAGTGCTTGGCTGGAAAACAAATACAAAGAAGGAAGAGAAAAGAGTAACAAGGAATGAGAGCTAGGTGGAGATTAAAGAAAAGAAAGGAGAAAAAAAATCTCCAAGCAGACAGACTGAGAGCTAGGGATACCTTTGGGTCAATGATGCATTCTTCAGCCATACCATTAAAGCCACTCACGCCAATAACTCGGTCTCCCTGAAGAGAAAACATTAAGGGCTTCTTCAAATGCATGGCCTTGCTGTTTACCTCTTACAAATTAACCAAAAAAAGAAAGAAAATCTTTCTTCCTGACCCATAAGACACAGGTTTGCCAAAATCATCTATTCAGAGTTAACGTTTAGTAAATAATTCAACCATCTTCTCAATACCCCCACCAGGATGCCAAGACGATATGAGCACATTTTGGACAGGACAGAGTAAGGAAAAAGTTGAAATAAATTAGAATCCCAGAATCTTTTTCACAAGAGACTGAAACTTGAGAATGTTCTATCCTCCCAGTAACTGAAGACTGAGGTGCTGGCTTCTTTAGTAATACAAGGTTTTACGAAGCCAGGAACTTCCACCGGCTTCCTTCCTCCAATTCAGAATTAGTTTCTTCCCCCTTCATCTCGGTTTCCCTCTGGTGTCTGTTGGCAAAGGCCAAGAGAAGCAAGACGCTTTGGCTGCAAATGAGGTTAGCACATTTCTCAGGGCTACACACACAATTCCCTAGATTTCAACTCATTTACCTCTTTCACTGTGCTGACATCTGTGCCTGTCTCCAGGACAGTCCCAGAAAACTCCATTCCTAAAACAAATTGTTTAAACACTAAGTTATCTATAAAGCCCAGCACCATGGAGACGAGAAAAGCCTGATCAACAGGCCATTCCATCCACTCTTTAGAGCTGAGAGGGCTTAAGTGTCCCCCCCACGACCCCCCAGGAGAAGAGCATTGTACCCAAAGCACAGGAAAGTGAACTTAAGATTTCATGATCACAACCTGAAAGGTGATAGCAGTCCTATTCTTACCAATTTACAAATGAAAATTTCAAGAATGGGCAAAAACACAGAATCACAGATACACCAGTACTTTTGATCCTGCTCACGGGGGCCTTGGGGGGCTCTTTACAGTACCCCAATTACAATGTTCATCATAGTGTATTTATCTGTTTCTGTATCTCCTCTTGTAGACTGTGAGGCCCTCAAGGACATGAACTGTATTTATTCATACAGTACGTGGCTCAATTTGGATGAACTGATGTCGTCTGCTCTTTCCTCTTCCACCTCCAAAATTTCTGAATTTAATGATCATACATTTCCCACTTAGGCTGCCAAAGGAATAACTCAATTGACTATGACATTTTCCCCCCCACCCAGCACGTCAGCAAATACGAACAGAGGGAAATGGTTCCAAATGTTGAAACACAACAAAACACAGCAACTATTTTACAATCACTGTATCCTTCATAGTGTATGTCTGTATACAATATGCATGTACTATCCTATCTCTTTAAATTTCAACAACAAAAAGCAGTCATTTGTCCACATATTCACTATCTAAATGTAATCAGATTGGGCATAATTAAAATCAGACAGTGGACTGCTAGAAATGTATAAACTTTTTCTTCTTTCTGATCCTCTGATATTAGGTTTCTTTGGGAATATGTGTTTGTGAGAACTGACAGTTTTAGCTGCAAACATGTTTATGATCCTTCAGTGAAAAAACAATACTGGGCGCCTGGGTGGCTCAGTTGGTTGGGCGACTGCCTTCGGCTCGGGTCATGGTCCTGGAGTCCCGGGATCGAGTCCCACATCGGGCTCCCTGCTCAGCAGGGAGTCTGCTTCTCCCTCTGACCCTCTTCCCTCTCGTGCTCTCTATCTCTCATTCTCTCTCTCTCAAATAAATAAATAAAATCTTTAAAAAAAAAAAAGAAAAAGAAAAAACAATACTGAGGCACTCACAAGGAATGAGAGTGACGAGGACCAATGAGGATTCCGATCAGAATTCTGCCGGACATGATACGTAAAAATTCATTTGTTCATTTATGTGTTGTTAACGTCTTTATTGAGCATCTACTATGAGCCAGGCACAATACTAAGATGGGGGATGAAACTAGGGGCCAGACAGTCATAGAACCTTCCCACAAGAGGCTCACTAGTGCTTCTAATCAGTGGTGAGGCTGACGTATCTGAAGCATCGCTGTGGGCAGGCAAGCAACACCAGCGTCGTGCCTGAGAAGCACACAGTTCTGAAAGCTCTGTAGCTTCTCTCCTGAGCTGTCACTTGGCCCCTTCATACTCACCAGGTGTGAAGGGAAGTTGGGGCTTTTCCTGATACTGACCACGGCAGACCAAAATATCAGCAAAATTAACTCCACAGAAATGGACATCAACTCTGACCTGCAAAGGAAACATAGCAGCAGGACTCTCCTGGGTGGCTCAGTTGGTTCATCGACGGCTGTTAATCAGCTCAGGTCCTGATCCCGGGGTCCTTGGATTGAGCTCCGTGTCGGGCTCCCTGCTCCACAGGAAGCCTGCTTCTCCCTCTCCCACTCCCCCTCTGCTCCTGCTCTCTCTCAATCGCGCTCACCCTCTCACTTTCTCCCAAATAAATAAAATCTTTAGGGAAGGGGTGCCTGGGTGGTTCAGTCGGTTAAGCGGCTGCCTTCGGCTCAGGTCATGGTCCCAACGTCCTGGGATCGAGCCCCACATCGGGCTCCCTGCTCAGTGGAAAGCCTGCTTCTCCCTCTCCCACTCCCCCTGCTTGTGTTCCTGCTCTCGCTATCTCTCTCTCTGTCAAATAAATAAATAAAATCTTAAAAAAAAAAAATCTTTAGGGAAAAAAAAAGCAGGGGGTGGAGCGGAAGAGCAGCAAAGCAGAGTGGTGCATGTCCATGGAGACAAAGTTCATTCAATTACACCAAAATAGTTCCTGAATATCTACTATATGTCGAGTACTGAACTAAGTGCCTGTGTGCAATCGTGAGGCAAAATGGACAGGTTCTTGCCTTCATGGAGCTAAGAGTATGGCAGATATCTGATATCTGTCTACAGCCATCCCACCTGAATGCGCCCCATCTAGTCTGATCTCGAAAGCTAAGCACGGCGGACCTGGTTAGTACTTGGATGGGAGAAGACAGACATCAGCCAAGTAATTGTGATGATTTATGTTTTAAATTACAACTCCTACACAGAATGTTAAGGAGAAAAATATATGGTGCTAACACAAGCAAACCTGATGGCATGTGCAAAGGCCCTGTGATGGGAACAAAAGAAAAACGAGTGAGCTCAGAGCACAAAGAGGAGAAAGAGATGGGGCTACAGAGCAGGGCCCACACCATCCAAGGGTGTGTAGTCTTTACTGAGGCTCTGAGCCTTCACAGTACGAACAGTGGGAAGCCATTAAAGGATTTTAAGCAGAAGGGTAACATGACCAGCTGTTCTGGGGATCAGCAATCATCTTGGAGGCCAGTTCTAGATCCCCAGTTTCTGTGCTTCATGCCCAGGCTAGAGCAGAGGCAGGCCTGCAGCATTGTAGCCAGCACTTTTTCCAGACCCTGTAGGCCAGTGGTTCTCCAAGTCTGGTTCCCAGACCACCAGCTTCAGTGTCACCTGGGACCTTACTTAGACTTTCAAATTCTCAGGCCTCACCCCGACATAAGGAATCAGACACTCTGAGGACAAAGTCCAGCAATCTGTTTTACCAAGCCCCAGGTGATTCTGACACAGGTTGAGAACAGAGCCAAGAAACAGGAGAAAATGAAGGCTGAGAGAATCGCTGACATTCATTTCCTTGTTTGCTTACATTTCCCATTTAGGACAGAGGAAGCCATGTTGGTGAGGAGACATTTCTATGGACAAAATGCATCCAGTCAAGAATGTTTTGAGTGTCTCCCGTGTGCCAGGCACCATTCCAGAGTATGAGGATTTGATGGTGAGTAAACTCACAGAGACCCAACTCCCATGAGCTAATTCCTTACGAGGCAGTGTCTGGGCAAAGAACGGAACCAAGGAGCCCAGGCTTCAGGCTGCGCACACTGTGTGCATGATGCACCAGCTGTTGACATGTATGGCGCTCATAGGTCCTCAAGCCACTCCACTTTGCCTCAAGGATGATTCAAGAATAAACGTCTTGGGCGCCTGGGTGGCTCAGTCCTTAAGCGTCTGTCTGCCTTTGGCTCAGGTTGTGATCCCAGGGTCCTGGGATCGAGCCCTGCATCGGGCTCCCTGCTCGGCAGGAAGCCTGCTTCTCCCTCTCCCACTCCCCCTGCTTATGTTCCCTCTCTCACTGTGTCTCTCTCTCTGTCAAATAAATAAATAAAATCTTTAAAAAAAAAAAAATAAACATCTTTCAGCACATGAATCCCAGGAAGCAGACCAGCTGCCATCATATGCTCACTCAAACAATCCATTTCACAACAGGGTCCCTGCTAGGGAAGTGACACTTTAGGGCTGCAGCTGCCTTGCTCCCTCTCACCAGGGGTCCCTGACGCTGAGGCTCCCTGCTTTGCTTCACCTGTCAGAGGTTCTCATTCTCCATTCGAGATGACATCGTGTCACCAGAGAGGTCACCCGGCAGAGCCAAAGTGACTTCCACATTTCACTGGAAATGCCCACAATCCTAAACCAATCCCACCCCACATCAGGGCACTCCCCAGAGGAGGGCACAAGATACACACTAAGAATTATAGGACAGACGTTACCGGACTGGTCTGGGGGAGGAGGGAGGACAGAACACTAAATGCTGACACTGAAGAGGAAGCCAAAGATGGGGTCCATTTCTGTGTATTAAACCAATAACCTGCAAGGGGCTATGCAAAGTCGTGTGCAAATCAGAATTGTCTGTTTCTAAGGCAACAGCTCTGGGGCCTTCATCAAGAGGTCTACATTTGAGTTTGGGGGCGCAATCTTCCTTCAGCCCTTGTGGCCTTTTTGTGAACCCCGAAAGGGCCCTTCCGGCCCAGGACGGAGCTGCGCTCCAGGCTCCCGGTCGCCCCCTAGGTGAGCACTTGGGAACTCCACTTAGGACCGAAGGCCGCGGGGGGGAGGGGGGGAAGGGGTGGTGGCGGAGGGGAGAGTGAAAGGGAGCGTCGGGGGTCCCGGGGATAGGCCAGTCACCACCCTACCTCGTGAGGCCGGACTGGGCGGGAGGCGACCTCCTTGATGGCCAGGGGCTGCTTCAGCTCTGTGCAGAGCGCGGCGCGGTAGTGGCGGCCGCTACCCGGCCCCGCCCTCCTGCAACACAGAGCAAGCGGCGGATTACAGGGCCCCCCCCGCCGGCTACCTCTCGGGGCCCAGGGGAGAGTCGGGGCCCCACCTGCAGAGCCACGCCCGAGGGAGGCCCCGGCCCCGAGCCACCGCCGCCATGGCCCGGGGCAGAGCGGCGCGCGAGGGGTGGCCCAAGGTGGCAGGAAGCGCGGGACACAGCGCCGGCCCCGCCCCGGCCCCGGGGACCGCGGAAGAGCGTCCGGCGAGGGGCCCACGGGCCGCAACCCGACCCGGGCGGGCGGTGGCGGCCGGTACCGCGCCCGGGTCACCCCACCCGCAGGGCGCCCTGCTTCCCCGGGGGTCTGAACCCTTTGGGCCCCCGGCCTCCCCGGTCTCCCCGGTCTCCCCGGTCTCCCCGGTCTCCCCGGTGGTGGAGCTCGCTGGAGAGGAAAGAAAACAAATAAAAGGAATAGATCGGCGGGGATTAAGCTCTGTTGACATTTTACTAGCAAATTTGGGAGACTTTTAAAGCCACACCTGATGATATGTAAATAGCGGTTCTTGGGTCCCTCTGCACTGCGAAATCCTAAATGCACAGGTAAAGGCCTTAATGTCTGCATCAAAACCTTGCTGGAGTTCAATTCTTGTTACTAATTTTCTCACATTTGCGGGACTATTTACACTAAAATTATACAGTTACTAGTAATCCACCGTTGAATGATCTTACGCAGATCCAAAGAATACTTTTTTTTTTTAAGATTTATTTATTTACTGGGGCGCCTGGGTGGCTCAGATGGTTAAGCATCTGCCTTCGGCTCAGGTCATGATCCCAGGGTCCTGGGATCGAGTCCCACATCGGGCTCCCTGCTCCTTGGGAGCCTGCTTCTCCCTCTGCCTCTCTCTCTCTCTCTCTCTCTCTCTCTCTCGCGTCTTTCATGAATAAATAAATTAAAAAAATCTTTAAAAGATTTATTTATTTACTTTGAGAGAGTGAGAGCAGATGAGAGGGGGTAGGGGCTAGAGGGAGAAGCAGGCTCCTCGCTGAGCAGGGAGCCTGATGCGGGACTCGATTCCAGGACCCTGAGATCACGACCTGAGCCGAAGGCAGTCGCTTAACCAAATGAGCCACCCAGGCGCCCCAAAGAATACTTTCAATTAAAGGCAGGCCCAAAGCTGGTGGTTTTTATATTCCTGATGCCTCTATTATGCCTGGCACATACCAGACGGTCAATAATTGACTCAATGACTACTTAGTTCCTTGGTGAACAGGTATACTCTGGAAAAACATAACAATATAATCTGTGAAATATTATGAAACTGGGTAGATTTCTGTTGCACCAGTAACCAAATATTTATGTATATTAGCAAGATAAGAGAAGCACATAATCCTGGGAAGAATATTTCATTTGACAGATGGCTTTTAATCACACCCTGGTGTCTTCAAAAGACATCCGGTCAAAGAACATAGCCTCTCAGGTTCAAGCCCAGCTCTACCACCTATCTGTGTGGCTTTGGCATTACAACTGATGTCTGTGGGCCCCAGTTTCCTCCTCTATAAAGTGAAAGTATCAGACAGGATCATTCCCGAATTGCTAAATTCTTTCATTTTTTTGGTGGAAAATAGTCCAAGATAGCAAATGACCTAGAAGGAATGATCAGGGGTGGAACAAAGGGAAAACAGAGAGCAAAAATGAAGGAGCAATGAACTTCTGAGATTATGGCCTAGAAGCTTGGGTAGGAGAGGAATCCAAGAACCAGGCCCCCACCACAGGTGCTAAGTAGAGGTCACTGCCAGAGAATCTAAAAAGTCATTTTAGCCCTTGACTCCATCAGGAGGGAACTCAGGCTTAAAAGGAACAAGGACTAGAAAGTGAGAAGATGAAAAAAGTTTATTTCCAGTGAACTGCTCTGTGAACTCTTAGTCATTGGGCACATAAAATCAAGCCAGGAATCAAAATGAACCTTCTGGTTGCCAAATAACAACAGTGAGCAACAAGAAATCTCACGTTTATGAAGTGTGAAACAAGGATTGATTGTCCTGAGGATGAAATGAGTTGTTACATATGGAAAATGTTTTGTAAAATATTAGGTATTTATACAAGATATAATTTTCAATGGAACTCCTTGAAAGTAACAACCATTTCTTAATCTCCTTTATGTTTGAAGTACTTTGCACATGCAACACTTTTAGGCATTTAATACATGTTTATCTAACAAATTGTTAAATGAGCACTCAATTATCTAGCATCAATTTTCCAGATAATTGGAAATATCTTTAAGCATCAAGTCTTCTATTTTTGATTAAGTATTTTTATGGAAATTTTTTCTATTGTGGTTTTTATAATAGCCTTGTCATTCTCAGAGAATATGAAAATCAGTGAGTTTTGGGGAAATCTATCAATGCGGCATTCTACATGTCTAACAGTATCTGAAGAAAATAGTAAAAGTCCCTTTAAGAAGAATCTTGGAGGGAGATGAAAGTATCTTAACTAAATGAGGTGATTTTAAGCATTTATATGCAAAATAACTTTCACATTTCCGAAGAGCTTCAAAGGTAAGTGACAAGGCATTCAATGGTAGTTGCTATAGTAGCAAAAGAAATATTTAGCCTATCCATAGAGGAGCTGCCACCACACCATACTGTCTAGTTTTTGTTATCATTTCTGATTACTTTGATTTAACTGAGGGTAAGATGGGAAGAGTGGACAGGAAGAATACAACTGGAGCCCTGGGGAGGGCTGAGACCAAGCAGCGATATCTGAACGGGTCAGTCCTCTGAGAAGAAAAAGAAAGAACCCAGAGCTGCTCTGCAAACCAGTCTGAGGGGCTCCCTAGGAAGTAGAAGAGTAACAGATGACTCTTCCTTCTGGTACAACTCACATGAAGAGATAATACTGAACATCCAGCGGCTGCTAGAGGGCTGAAGGTGGAGAAGCAAGTCAGAGCTGAATACACAAGCAGCTATATTTCCACAGAATAATGGACAAATAATATACAAACAATATTACCACTGTACAGGACTATGCTGAAAAGGTAAAAGTATCCTCCACAGTTAGAATGCTTTATCCAACAGTTTGTCAGCTCCCCGAGAATAGACACTGGGTCTCAGTGGCCCAGAGCTTACCACCATATCTGTGGCTAGCCTGTAGCAGGTGCTTGGTACATTACGAACCTGGGAAGCAAGGAGCCCTACAAGCTGAGTGGAGGAGGTCCCAGCACATTACTATCCCAAGGCACAAAACCAAAACATTTTAAGAGTTTGGACTCATTTCCCTGCCTAAATATGCAGCTGCTGGGTATGATCTGACCTTTCTTCTGACTGGTTTGTATTGCCATTGTAGATATAAATTATTACCTTCCGTCACAGGGATGTCCTCCAAGATTCCTGAGGTGTGGCGGAGTAGTTTGCCTTTTCACTGAATTCCCCCAAATGGCTCTTTCTGATTGTTGCAGTTGGGGTTAACCTTTCAGCCTCAGAGATGAACTTTGGCTCTCTACACACATAGTACATATGGACCTTCCACTCTATTCCAAGAACACTGTAAGCTATGCTGTGTCACTTATTTTGCGCCAACATTCATGGAATCCTAGAATTTCAGAGCTGGGATTGCTCTTCAAGATAATCTAATCAAAGTGCTTCATTTACAAGCCAGAAAGCTGAGGCTCAGGGAGAGACTGGCCCGAGGTCACAGAGCGGAGTTAGTGGCAAGAATAGCATTAGAATCTGCCTTTCCTGGGGCGCCTGGGTGGCTCAGTCGGTTAAGCACCAGCCTTCAACTCGGGTCATGATCCCAGGGTCCTTGAATTAGGTTCCCCGCTCAGCAGGGATTCTGCTTCTCCTTCTCCTCTGCCCCTCCCCCCACCACCACCGCTCATGCGCAGCTCTTTCTCTCTCTCAAATAAATAAATAAGATCTTTAAAAAAAGAAAAAAAGGATCTGGCTTTCCTGATTTCCTGTTTGCTTCTCTTTCTACCGAGCTCTTTGGCATTCGCTCAACACTAGACACCATAATAATAATATTTTGCATTTTCATAGCACTTGGTAAGTTGCAAATCACTGTCACCCAAGTTGGTTCATCCTGCCATCGGTAAGAATAATAATAATTATCATTACAACTAGCACTTATTGGTAACGTTACAAACCAGTCACTAGGTGCTTTTGCATTATTTCATTAGTCCTCACGATTGTCCTGCTCCTGGTATACTATTATTTTCACTCGTTTATGGATTAGGAATGTAGGCTTAAGGTGAAGTAAGTAACTTGCCCAAGGCCACACGGTTAGGAAATGGAGCTATTGAGAAGCCTCCAGAAGCCTGAGTGGCGACATCAGTATCCGGGCACCCAGCCGCCCACTGTACCCCCCCTCACACCCCCCTCCAGAGCAGACAGAGAAGCTTTTGTACGATACATTTTAAAGCCATGCTTTGCTTGTGCGCTTAAGCTTAATTTTATAGGAATTTTACAGTAGTTCTAGCCTAGAAAAGAGGAATTCCCTGAAGGAGGGAATACAGAGACAGCAGCCTCCAGGGGATGCCTGCGGTTGAGACAGAAGAGGAGGAGAACACAGCAGTAGGAGTTACTACCCTAATCCATGTAGCCGGAAGCTTGAAAATGTATCAATTTCATTTAAAGTATCATATGTGAGATTAAAAGTGTGATTACAGGGGCGCCTGGGTGGCTCAGTCGGTTAAGCGTCTGCCTTCGGCTCAGGGCATGATCCCGGGGTCCTGGGATGGAGCCCCGTGTCAGGCTCTCAGCCCCACAGGAGCTCACATACACACACAGATTTTAATGAAACAATGTGCTGACCGGGTTGCCTGGTGACCAGCCATTACTTCCAGCAGGTACCAGCAGGCATTTGGTCAAAATTCCTGGCACCCCGACGGGCCAATTTGGAACCAGTGGTGGCCCAGGAGCAGGCTGTCGTGGACCCCAAAACTAATCACCAGTCTTTGAAGCCGGGATATATTTTCCACCTTAAACCATAATTATGGAACCAGTTGACAAGTTCCCAAGCATTCTGGCAACTTTATGAAGCTTTTCCAACCCCTCCTCCCCCAGAGAGAACAAATTCTTCCCTTCCATATGTTTTCCCCAGAGAACTTTGTTATAACCTGTATTCGCTCACTAATCTCATTGCTCAGGTAGTATTTATCTTTCTATCCCAGCAGCTGAGCTGTGAGCATCGTG